TTTGTAAAAACTTCAATTGAATTTCAATAAAGTTAAAGGCATGGCCTCACCGTTAATATTTAAAAAAAAAAAAAAAGTATATGATGCTTATAATTGTTTTCTAAACATATTCATGTCTAACAGAGATCAATCACTTAGAAATGCCTCTAATAAAGTCTTTTCAGAAGTAGACAAAATGCTTTGTATCTGGCATATAATTGAGCAAAACCTTAAGACCAACTGTCATAGATTGTTTGATAGTAACGATGATTATGAAGTGTTTAAAAATAAAGTTGAAGCTTTGCATCTCACTTTTGATGAAAAAAAAATAGAATTAGCAATGGAATCTGTTAAGCAAGCTGCAAAAAAAGCACATAATCAAAAAAAGTCTCTAACCTATATTGAATCTTTAATGAAAGATTCAAAGTTATAGATATATGCATATACAAAGTATTTCTGCCATATAGGCATCTTAACTACTGCTCATGTTAAAACATCACATAGTGCTTTTAAGTGAGCAATTAAAACTGCCAGCACTTTGGATTCAGTTTTTGAAAAAATTAATCAGAGAATGAAAATGCAACATCTCAAATCAGCTATACATATAGGTGCTAACAAGATTTCATATAATCCATTTACTCTACGTGATCTTCACTTTAGTATACTTATCAGCAATATATTGACATATGTGATTGATAGTATAAAAAGAACATTAACTAAAGTTAAGAAAAAACCCAACGTATCTAATAATATAACAGCTTGTCAATGTCTAATTAAAATGAACTACAAGCTTCCATGTTGTTATATAATCTTTAAAAAAGGTTCAATTTTCTTGAATATTATAGACAAATATTGGCATCTTTATAGACCTAAAATTGAATCTCTTCTATGTCCAGCTTTGATAATACTAGCTACTAATTCAGAATTTTACAAGGTATTTCTTAAAGCTGAAGATGCATTTTGTAAACTTCCAAATGATGTCTCTATGCAAACAGAATTTATTGACTATATACACCAAGCAATTACAAAACCACTTTTAGAACCTCTAAAGGTTCCAAAGACAGCAATACCAAAAGGTCATTTATTAGGAATAAAGTGTGAAAAACTTAAAAACAAAAAACAAAAATTAGAAACAAAAAAAAAGCAAAAATTGTTGAATAATATTACAACAATCAAAAATATTAAATATTAACATCTATTACAAGATTCTTTTGCTTCAGGACTACAATCTAAGCAAAACTCAAATAAATATAATGTTTTAATTTCTTTATCTGCTATCTATTCTTAAGGCATTAATATAGTCAAGGATAGCATTCCAAAATTTATAGAAGAATACATCACAAGCTGTATAGATATTTGTAGTGATAGTAACTGTAGTTTTTGTGCAATAGATAAATTACTTGGAATGCCTGAAAATGAATAGTCAACTATACGACAAGATATTTTTAATGAGTTGGTTAATCGAAAAGACTATTATATTAACCTGTTTCTTGAAGATGAAACTGAGTATAACAAAATTGTCACAATTACAAAATGGAAAAGTGGCCCTTGCAGCATTGACTACTAGATATTAATGCCATCTTTTGGGTATCCAATTGCAAATGCATTCCAAAGACTAATTCATTACTTTAGTAAACATCAGTGTTTGACTTTTTTACCTGATAAGATTCCATTAAATAGAAACCCATCAATCATCTTTGCTTTTATCTATAAGTGAAACCACTATCTTGTCATAAATTTGAAGCCAAATATACCTGTTCTAGTAATTGTTCAAAGATGACAAAATATATGCTCAGACAAAAATAAAATCTGAACTAAACTATTTGATATAAGGATTGTTCAATTTCTGAAAGCTTTTAAGAAAGAGAACAGCTCAAAAAACCAATCTACTTCTGGAATTACTATTAATTTAACTTAATTATTAATTCTGTATTTTAATTAAACAGAAAGCCAATAAAATATAGATTAAGTTCTAATGAACTATGGAACAGAATTGCATAATAAAAGATAAATATTATCTTATAATTCAATAAGAGTGTCAATGCTTAAAGATTAACTAATTTATTTCTTATAAGACCAGATTTTAAAAGATTCATATCATTTTATTGACAATTACTTTATAGTTTACAGATAATTAATTCATAACAAATTCATTTATAGGCATTTTGTAGATAGTATATTTCATGATAGCTTATTTTACAGACAAGATTTTTTTATAAATTAATTCTAATTATTTGAAGTTGAGATAAGTTGTCAGTAAAATAAACTGTCAATGAAATGAACTTGTGAATTAATTGTTTGTAAGTGAATCTTGTCTGTGAACTAATTATCTATAAACAAGCTATCTATAAAGTAATGATATAAATTTTAGATATTTAAAGCAAAAGACTTATTATATATTATGAAAATGCAATACTAAATATATAGAATCACCCATGGCCTATATACATTGTAGTAGTTGATTATAAATTTAGAATAACAGTCACTTAGTGTAATCGATTTAGAATAAAATATAAACAATAATTGTATAATATTAGTAATAAGAGATAATACAATTAATAATTGAGTAATGCAGATATGAAAGTAATTAATATATAATAAATATATAATTAAAGAAAAAAGTGAGATTCAAGTTTTGTGCAAAGTGTATTCTAAATAAAAAAACTATATTTTATTTGTTTGATTTTGTCATAATTATTCTTTCTAATAAACAATCAAATAAGTAAGTATTTGATTGATATTAAACTTAAGATATTTGACAATTTACAAAGGTCAAAGTTTTTGTAACTTTATTGAAGGCAAATACCAAAGTGTTCAACTAATATTAAACTCAAGATATTCAACAATTTACAAAAGTTGAATTTTCTGTAATTTTATTGGAGGCAAATTACAAAGTGTTTGATTGACATTAAACTCAAGATATTTGACAATTTACAAAAGACAAATTTTTTGTAACTTTATTGGATGCAAATTGCAAAATCTAATATGTACTTCTCAGAAGTATAAATTCCCCTGGTATTATGTACAACTTAGCTAGGTGTTTCATCCTTATATCAATAGCACATTTAATCTAATTCTCTTCTAACTGCTTTTTTTGATACAATCATAGTTTTTTTTATGTTACATCTAATTTAACACCTTTTTTTACACAACACTAAGACTATTAATAAGGGCTTGCAAGTTAATACGTATAGGATTAAATAAGTAAGAAATAACAAGGTTAAATTTAACCTATAATATGAACAAGCTTTTTTAAATTTTGATATACATTTCACTAATATATGTTGTGTAACTGTGATATTTACGAGATGATTACTCAATGTGAGTATTAGGTAGGGTTGGGAGCATGGTGTCCCAGGGCATGCCTCAGGGGCATGCCCTCCTGGGCATGCCTGGGGGCATGCCTTTGAGCCAAGAGGCATGCCCTTATCATGTGATTATAGATCTAAATCACGTGGAATTGGAGCGCACTGATTGGCTATCTATTTTATTAGATTGTCTTACCATTGTAATATATAAGTCCTGTCAAAAAGTATACAGTTAGCCGTCTACGTACAGAAATTCTATTGATGATAAATTTTCCATAAATGGCTAACTGAATACAAAATATAATTGAAAGTTCAAGTAACAGATTTTCCTTTAACAGCACTCATATATTTACGAAACCATAAAGATCTCTTTAACCCAGCATGCAAAAAAAAGGCAAAGTTTTAATGCTTATAAATAATTTTGGCATTATTTTATTTTATTCCTTTTTGTAATAGTTTGTCATGGATCATAATAAAATCGAATTAAAATGAAATAAGGGTTTTTATTTAACCCTCTAAAACCCACTTATACTTGTTTATTATAAACACTACCCTAATACTAACCTCTAACCCTAACTCCTAACCTTAACAAATACACCTCAAAAATTTAGATTTTTCAGTGGCTTGTCTATTTTTACATTGTACAATATTTTATTTTAATCTGATTTTATTTAAGTGATAGATCATAATTGAAAGGTATAAATTTATAGTAAAAATCGTAGGAGAATTACTATTACTTTCATATAATGTTGGAATGCTGAAAGTTTCTGACATTATGCAAAAATCATATAGTTATAAAGGAGAAAATGCCAATAGCTCGCGATCTACCAAACCAACTTGAATAATTCTACCACTATTAGAACTAGAATCACTTGTTCTATAATCTTTGTTAGAGACTCAAGGAAGGTTTACTTGGCATAAAAAAACTTTTCACTGTAACCCAGCTGCATTCCAATCCTATAGAAAAACTATATTAACTTCTGGCAATTTTTACTATTAAATTTGCTATTTTTATACCCTTTAACCGCGATTTACCTCTTAAATCTGATTTTATTTTAACCCGATTCATTTTAATCTGATTTCATTTTAATCCGTCACAATAGGACGGGTGAAATATTAGAATGTAGAGATAAGAGTACACCAGAACGAAGCCATTGTATGCTTGAAACTATTCATTGCTTCTATTATTCCAAAATTTACAAAGAAAAACATTTATTTCAACAATCAATTTTAGAGATCTTTCACTCGGTAATCAATTCCAGCTAACCAAAATGAGTTAAGTATACAATCATATACTTTTTTCTACATATGTACATATATATATGCATTTAATTACTATTCTTGATTATTCCAGATAAGTTTACGGTTCATTACTAAGCCAAGTAAAATACAAAAATGGTTGTAATAATTTCCAAGCCCACCTAAACAAGTCAATTATGTATTCAAAGCAACTATTGAAAAAATGGCATGAGGTATAGAATTGGAAGAAAATTAGAAGTCATAGCGAGAATTAAGAATTTAATGTTTGAAAAAATGTCTAAATAGGTGAAAACGTATTCAAAGCCATCCTGGTTTAACATGAAAACATAATTGCGTGATTATGGTTGCGTAAATCAGAAAAAATGGCGTGATATATATATGCACAATAGTAAATTGAAAGAGAATTAGATGTCGCGGCGAAAATTGTAAAATTTCGATATTTGGAAATGTATTTAATCACTTAAGCCTGCCTAAATAGCCAATGCTGCATTCAAAGCCAACTGTTCAATGCCGAGAAGCATAATTCACGATTATTGCTATATTATTGTTAGTGGAAAGGCGTGTGAAGTATTATGCGAAATAGTAAAGTAGAAAGAGATTTTGATTTAGAAAATGTAGAAGAAATATATTTGAAAAATGTATAAAAATCATGCTTTTGACTTAAATAAACTTCAGAATTTGATTCTAAATAAATAAATCTTTGAAAACGTATTCTTTAATAAAAATTTTTTTATTTTGGTAAATTTTTACATTTTAAATTATTGCCAGTAATCAAATTATATCTAAATCTTTGATCATAAATCATCTCATTATTCTCATCATGATATTTATCAACTTTACATCAATTTCATCACATTTAAATAATCTAAAATTACTATTTACACAAAATTATTATCCCACTAAGCGTTTTATCCTTTAATATTGCACCGTTTCCCAAAGATAGTAATAACATTGTCTTCATATCCTAAAAAAGATCAAAAAGATCAATAAATTAATATGATTAAGACATAAATAATACATAAAAAACTTATAATCTCAATCGTATAATTGTCTGCAATAAACCCAATTTTTCAAAAACTTATTATGGAAATTCCCCAAGGTTTTGCTCTTCCTCTTTCAACACAAGGTCAGTGTTGGTCTGGATTTTTTCGATCTGAGCTAAAAAAAGAAGGAAACAGATACATGGCAAAATGTAAATTTTGCTTGAGTAAATTTAGTGGCAAACCAGAAAGACTCCATTAACACGTACTTAAGTGTAGTGATTGGCCTCCATTGGGAAAGGCTACTTATCTTAGTAAAATTTCTAATGAAAGCCCTGCCTCTCGTAAACGCACTCATGAAGAAGAAGAGGAAGATATTTCTACTGAGCATGATGGCACACAATAGTCATTTGAATCCCCTTGCCAAAGTACTATCCTTAATTGGTATAATCGGCCTTTACCTAACACGCAATCTGAAAAACTTCACCAAAAACTTTTAAAGGCCATTATATATGGAAATCTTTCCTTTAATTTCGTCGAAAATCCATATCTACAAGAGTATCTTTCTGAATTAAATCCTGCTTATCATCTTCCTTCCCGCGATATGATCAAAGGACGTCTCTTAACTATGATGTTTTCTGATCATCTTCAAAAAAAATTAAATGCTTTTCCCTCTTTTACTGACATTACCATTTCTTTAGATGGATGGACTGACAATTCTAGAAATTCTATCTATGGGTTTATGGCTCTAAATGAGAATCAGGAAAATGTGCTGGATATTCTTGATCTGTCTGCGCATCGCCATACAAGCGATTTCCTCAAAAGCAAAGTCAAAGAGGTTCTATCTACAAATGGAATTCAAATAAAAAATGTTATTGCTATTGTTACTGATAATGCTTCAAATATGGATAGAATGTGCCATTTGCTTAATGTAAGTTTTTGAAAGCATGATCACTTCTACTTAACACCCGATTGATATCGATTTATGTTGCAACATAAATCGACATCAATCGGGTAATCTAAATAATTTTTCAAAATAAGATTAGCAATCTATATTTAAATATAATATTATATACTTTTTATTTATAAACTTAGGAAGAATACCCTAATATCATTCCCATTCATTGTTGTCTACATGTCTTCAATTTAATCATTAAAGATATTTCTAGCTTTCCTAGTGTTATTGCTATCTGCAAAAAGAATCAAAAGCTAGTTAATTTTTTTAATTCTTCGCATATCTGGCATCGTGAGTTGCAAAATTGGAAAGAAAAAAAAGGAATTACTCATTTTCTGTTTACATTTTGTGAAACTAGGTGGTATTCACTTGCTAAAGTTTGCATGAGAGTATCCACCTATGAAGAAGGTTTTCGGCATTGTCTTTCATTAAGCGAAACCACATGTCCCAAGTATCCTGAAATCGAAAATACAGTAATAAAAAACATTATCCGTGATAGATATCATTTTGCTACAAATGATACGTTAATAAAAGTAATAAGGTCAGTCATTGATGCTATTGGAAAATTAGAATCAAACGATTCTTCCCTGGCCAACGTTTTTAAAGAACTTATCTTCCTCCATCAGCAAATATCTCGGCTTGAAATTCCTATCAATGGTTTTCAGGCTTATACTCTTGCTGTTATTAACAAACGAGCCAAAGAGTTTAACAGTGACATTTACTTTGTTACACTTTTTCTTTCTCCAACCCACATGCGACTGGCTATATCTAATATTATAGATGGAGAAGCAATTATTCGAGCTTCGCTCGAATTAGCTAAAGTATGGAAGTTCAACCAAAGAAACACAGGCCTCTTATATAGAGAGTTAATAAATTACAAGAACAATCATGCTCCCTTCAACAAACTTCCCTCTAGCTCCTCAACTCCGCGCTCATTCTGGGCTGAATTCAAAGGAAATTCTCCTCTTTTGCGCCAATTTGCAATGAAGCTTCTTTCTATTGTTCCTTATGGAGCTGCTTGTGAGCGGCTTTTTTCATCTCTTGGCTTGGTCAAATCGAAAATGCAAAGCAAGATAACTTCAGATAATCTTTCTATACTCGGGCAGCTTAAGTCCGAACTCCAAAAAAAAATATCTACCAAGGCCAAGAAGCGAAACGAAACAATTTCTGAGCCTTTAATTGAAGAAGATAGGAATTTAGAGAACCTATTTGAGGAAGAGATTGATCAGTTAGAGGAGTTGAATGAGGAATTGAATGAAATTACAACTGAACAGATTGAAATGCTTTTTATGAAAGAACTTTTCGATTTCGCGATGCTTGAGAGAGATCAGGAGTTTATCGGGGAACATTCGTTCTAGGTTGAACAAAATTATTTGACGCAAGAGGCCGATTGGTCCGTTGATAATATTATTTTTGAAAATATGCAAAACCTATAATGATTTTAATAATGTAAAATAAAATTAAGTAAGATAAAATAAGTATAAATATAATTTATCCATTTTTAAATCGTTTCTTTCAAAATGAAATATAGTACGTACGTACAATAGTGCGGATTTACTTATTTGTGCCTGTAACAAACCAAAAAAGCAAATTAAAACCAGAAACTTAACATTAATATGTGTACTCGTTTTTCTTTATTTCGCTTTGAATTTGCCAATCAATCTATCAAAATGCGTTTTTTTATATAATGCCTTCATAGTCGGACATTCGTTTGATTGGCTGATGTAAATCAATTGCCCGGGTAACTTATTTATACACATTAAAGTACTTTTTAGAAACGTAACGTTTCACTAATAAAAAATCACTGCAAAAGCCACTTTTCACTTTGAAAGAACGTTTATATTCACTATACAAAAATAATCAAAAATAATCAGTAACCTTGAGAACTTTACTTAGAAGACAAAGTATGCCTACCGCTTATTGGACCATATTGTAAAGTGAAGGTAACTGGCAACGTTTTTGTCTAAAGCTATTTTATTATGTTAGATTTAGACAAACTTTTGCTTTTAACTGTTTAATTTGAATAGGTACAAGCTCTTAGTAGTAGAAGATTTGGGCTTAATATTTAAATTTGGTCGGTTCTTGTGGGCTTGTCAACCGTATATTAATAGTTGTAGATTATATATTGTACATAGATCTTGTACGTAGATTCTTTAATGAGTTTGGGTTTATTAGTAATAAATATCACATTTACCTACTTTACGCGTATCTATTTATTCTCTAAATATAAGTAATCCATTCTTTTGTGTATATTTATTAGTTTGTAAGCTTTTTTATTTGAAGTTTTGTTTCGTTTTCTAGTACTGTAGTATTAATAAAATTATGTATTTTGATTGGTTAATTATCACGAGCAATCACGGGTAGATCTACCAAAATTAACCAATCATATGAATGTCTCCCTATGAAAATATAATGCCGCATCATGTGACCCAAATTTTTTCCCGTGCCCCCAACCCTAGTATTAGGTAGGTTAAATCACGTGCATATTCGGTAGGTAGTAGATCACGTGATCGGTAGGTACAAATCACATGATCTGGTAGGTGTCCGTAGACTTACTCTTGGGGAAGATCCAATGATCGACAAACAATCAATCTCAAATTAGATGTCATTCGCGTCTTTCTGCTAAGATGTCAAGAATTGCTAATCTTAGAAAAAAAAATAGATCCAGAGGAGACAGTCCGGAAGATGAATTTGACATAGTACAGAGTTTGGAGGCTGGTAAGAAATTATTACAGAATACATTTGAATGAAAGACGCGTGTACTAACCCTTTTCGTATATAGACATTTTAATAAATAAAGCGTTTACATTATATCGTTGTACACCACTTTACAAGTTCGAGCTTTCTAAATTATGCCAATACGCGAAAGAGATTCAAAAGTTTATTGAGGGACAAATGACTAGAATTCTTCCCTTTGAAAATTTAGAGGAGTTCGAGAATATTAAAATGTTAAAGGAAGGGAGCGTAACGGATGTAGTTATTTCAAGAATTCATGTACCAGAGTGGAATGGTATATTTGTATCTTTTAAGTATGAAGCAGATTCACGACCTCGAACCAAAATTTTATTATTAAATGAAATTTCTACATTATTTCGCATCCAGCTTTGAACGATTTGCCAATAGGAATAGAGATACAATTCAGACCTAAAAGTATATAATTATTTATCATTTGCAAACAAGATGTTCTTGAAAATTATTAATCATAATCATGGATTAAGGATCGTCAACAGAACAAAAATTTCACATTATATTATTTCCAAGTAATAGACATGGCAATGATGCAAACAATAGTCGTATGTCATCAATCAATCGTTTTGAGATAATTGTCAGCCTTGAAATTATAAACTAAAACGATTTGAACCTAATTTCAGTCTCATTCAGTCATTATCCTCTCGTTATTATTAAAGCTCCACAACGAATAACAACTATTTTCGCCGAATGGATTCAAACCCAATTCGACTGTAGAATTTGTCGATATCATTTACAATCTTCTAGTTTAAAGAGCATTGTTGAAGAATGGGCAAAATTTGTCTTTAATCAAGGCAAATTTTTATGATTTTCTTTATAATTATTGTCGTTTGATCCTTGTCCGATTCTTTTGCGAACCATTTAATACAAACAATACAATTTACATAGATTTATCCAGTTCTCCGTCTATATCAAGGCAAATTGAGCTTACATACTCAGTTCCAAATATTTCTGAAATAAAAAATATCACGTTAAAAATGTCTTTTGAGGATACAAAACGTCTTTATAACAGGTATTATTAGTATTATACTTTATCAACAGTGTTGGGCAAACTAGTGGTCGACTAAAAATTTGCTGGTCAAATTGGTCTGGTCCGCCCAACACTGTTTATCAAATGTTGCATTGTTTACGAACTTTTCTAATAGAAAATCATTGAAAGGAAAACTCAAAAAGGTGCTGAACGTAAGTATTTCTAAGATTACAGTAAATAATTAAACATGCTATTTCCCAATTACATTTAATCGATTCATGGAACTGTATAAAATTAGAAACACTAAGTATAATGGAAAGCATTGAGAACTATTTTTTCCATTGTTTACGTATCAAGTTCACGTCTTTAAACCTTTCCAAGATTTCGACTAATGTGGGCCACATTACGTCTGATGGTAAATTAAAGGTAACTAAGATATTTGTAAGAATTCAAGCATGGCTTTAATATATATTTCATCGCGATATTCATAATTTTTTTTTAGTTATTTGCAGGTTTTAACCCTCGTTTGACTGCATCTTTTCTAGAAAAGTTGATGATAATTGCGCAATAGTTATATTATATGCTTTTCTTAAACTTTGTTTAGATACAGATATTGGAACTAATGGTATTTTTTAAAGTTGGTATATGAAATAAAATTATGAAATTTGATCTATCTATATTGTTTTCCTTATGAAATCGGGACCAGGGAACCATGGAATTAATATACTAGTAGTCTTCTGATATTTTTTATATAATGGATATTTCTTCTTCGAGATGTTCTCAGTAAAAATGGTGGACGCACACATTAAAATCGTCAAATTCATAGCGCCAATTATAGACCAATTAAAAAGCCAATCATTACCACCGGCAGCAATTGAAAAGACATAGAATGTCCACCAAAGACCCATTTCACAAAAATAATTTGGGTGCCTTATTAAATATTTGAGTGATTAAAATAACATTTATATAAATATAAAATTTCTGTTAGGGAGTAACTGGAGCTTACCTGGAATAGCGAAATAGTCCATTGGTTAAAAAACCCAACGAATAATTACTCTCAAGTATCATAGGTACTGTTTTAGAACTGCTGGCGGCAATCAATTTTCGTTTTTCCGTTTGAAAATTCCACTGCTGTTCGTCTGCGATAAATTCACCAATCCAAAATCCTAAAAACAATACACAGCATACCAAATCCAAGATATTCAAAGGAGCACTATCACCAATAGACCAAACTATGTAGGCCGGAGCTGATAATAACACGAGTGTGATGCTTTGGTAAAATGAAATAAAAATAACATTGAGAATTTCAAACAATATCCAATGCATTTTCTGTCGGATTATCGGCCATCTAAAATACGCGTAAATAAAGTAAATTTATAAATAAACAACTGTGAAAAGGCACATGCTTTGATTTCGCCTTACATATACGCACCTATAGTCCTCACCGTTCCAACTGTAACCACCTTTGCGCATAAAATTATAAGAAAGACGAACGCCCCACAATGTTGCTAAAATGCTCATGATAACACCACGCGCATTTAGACATCCAAGATTACAAGTAGATAAATCTTTAAGACAATCGTAAAGGGCAAAGTGCCAGGTATAAATCTCCGGTAAAATAGTCCAAAGCCTATCAATCTAATAATTTAGAAAACGGGTTTGTGAAATTCAAGGTAATTATTTCACCAGAATTTGCAAAATTTTTTTTATGATCAAGACAATACAAGAATAACACTCAAGTTTTCAATGAAATAAAATTTTTAAAATGGAGCCGGCAACCCAGCTTTTAAATTTTATAGTTAAAAACATAAGACTTTTTAAAATTTGTGATAATAACCCTAGTCTAGTTATTAGATAAAACAATTAATTTTGTATGGTCTTATTGTCGCAGTCATACCTGTGAATGGTTTTGTGTAATTACACTTAGCAACCAAGCGAATATGGCTACAAACAAACTGGCCATTACTGCCATGAAGAAAGGATCTTTACAGACGTAAAAATTGCGCGTCAACAACAGTATGTTACTCCAAATGTCGTTTTCGAAGTCAACATCCCATTTACAACTTGTAATATTATAAAATTCAAGTAACATGGTATCATTAAAAGATTTCACCTCTTATTAGTATTACAGGCAAATTTAATCAAACCTTTTTTCAAATCAAAACAAAATATGATCCATAAATATTGATACGCGCCAATCTTAGCCGAATCATGATTGGCCCATAGGCCAAAAAGAAAATTTCTTAGGGCAGATCTACCCGTGATTGCCCGTGATAATTAACCATTTATCATTAATATTACTAGAAAACAAAAGAAACCTTCGCTTAAAAAAGCTTACAACCGAATAAATATATGCAAAAGAACCTATTACATAATTTAAAGAATAGACAAATGTGTTTTTTTTCGGTATTAAGGTGACTTCTTTGGTTTTCTGACTTTATTAACATTTTTGTTGAACACATATTCATATAGACATATGTTCATTAAAGGCAGAGTACAACATTGATTATTTCTATATATAATTAGTTGCAAATTTTTACGAATTTTTTTATATTTAATTTTTTGAAAAAATATATTAAGTAAATCATTTTTAATCCTTATATAAAAGTTGTAAAATAGGTTTTTCTGATTCTAATGATAGTAAAATTATTAAAATTTGATAAAAACTCATTGAGATATAAATTTTTTTTTTTTTTTTTTTGTGTTAAACTAGCTTCTTTTGGAGCTAGGGTTTTTTATTCAGTATAATTAGGATATAGGGACTCACAGCCAAGGTCTCAAAGAAGTCTCCTTACATTAGAGAGTACAACTAGTTATACATACATTTTTGGTGTCTAATTAAATAGTTCATTAATAGTTTTACACTAGCTGTCATACCTACAACCTAACTAGAAGTGTTGCCTATTTAAACCTTTTGTATTGCAAGCTTACTGTATTACTATATCATTTCCATTACGTAAGTCAGTCGAAAAGGTTTAGATGCTTACCTGTATTCTTAGAACCTCATATCATATTTCATGCAATTTATTTTTAAAAACATCATTATTAGAACCTTCTGTGTTCTACATACAGCTAACCTAGTTTTATGTAACACATTATAGTTACCTAATACTTGCAGTTAAGGTTAACTTTAAACTACTACATTATACTATTTCTACTCTTATAAAGTTCATTCAAACCTTGATACTTATCTTTTTGACATCTTTTTTATCATCTCCTACTAACCATAACTCAGAATCATTAGTCTTATTTCAGACTACCAATCCAGATGGCCTGGTATGGTATATCTTAATATCTTTTTCCTCTAATGAATCTGGCAGCCTGGTTGGTTTGTGCTTTTCTATACATCTTGACATCTAGTTTTAATCTTTGGTTCCTATGAAGTGTTTCATAAGCTTTCATCGGTCTGACAGTATTATCAAAAATTTGTGTTACTCTTTACTCAGGAATTTCCAAGTAGGATTCCATCTCCTCAGTTCCTTAGTCTTCTATACTTGATGATTTTATCATGAGTTTGCACCAAAGTCTATACAATACTAGTTATTAACATTCCTCTATATTGTTATAGAACGATTTATTATTATTTTATTATTATTAATTATTATTATTATTATTATTATTATTATTATATTATTATTATTGGTATTAGTTATTTCATTATTGTATTATTATTAGTAGAAGTTGCCGGAACATTCCGGTTGATTAGTAATCGCTTAGATGCTTAGTCGCTTAGATGCTTAGTCGCTTAGTCGCTTAGTTGCTTAGTCGCTTAGTCGCTTAGTCGCTTAGTAATTAGTCGCTTAGTAATCATTAGTCATTAGTTGCTAGAACCTTCTGGTCGCTTAGTAATCACTTAGTCGCTTAGTCACTTAGAC